CACACACACACAGACACATACACACATTAACCATAAAATATTAGTTCACCCAGCACTGTTTCAATTGATTAACAAACAAATTCATTTTACTTGATTGACAGGAGAATACTCATACCAAGTGTTTACTTACTTTTCTTACTTTTCTATGGGGAAAAAAATCCAAGAACTATGAATATGCCTTTTTTTTTACAATTCAATTCAATTCAAAAATACTTTATTGATCCTAGAGGGAAATTAGGTGTTGTTGTAACTCATTTAACTAAAAACTTATTGTAGATGCTGATGTGGGCAGGAAAAATCTTCTGTAGCGGTCTGTATTACAGCGAAGTTGAAGAAGCCTCTGACTGAAGACACTTTGTCTAAAATTGGAATATTGCAAAAATCAAATTTGTTTTTGTTTCTGGTCTTTGGACGTCACACAATCAGTAATCCTATATTTATAAAATAAACTGAATTACATCTGTCAGCAAATTCTGCAGTTGCCACTGGCTAAAATTCATCTTCGTCACACTGTGAGCGCAAACAGCAAGGTTTCGTTTTAAACTTTGACACACAAAGCCGTGGGAAATGTGGGTTTAAAGACTATTTGCCTTTCATTTAATTTATGATTTGTATTTTTTATTGTATATAGAATTGATGTTGTTTTTAAAAGAAATTAATAAACTATTACTACTACTACTACTACTACTACTAAAGGACATAATAGTAGTAGTAGTAGTAGTAGTAGTAGTAGTAGTATTAGTAGTAGTAGTAGTAGTTGTTGTTGTTTATTACAAGAATATACAGTATGTATTATATACTGTGTATTCTTGTAATCTTGTATAAAACATAAAAACTAAATTAAACTGAGGTAAAATCGTAGTCTAACAGTAACTGGGGGTATTTTAGGTGATTCTCAAAGAGAGGTAAGATGAAAGCTCATCTTACTGCTGCTTCTCTCAGGTTCGCTGTCGGATCGTTGCTATTTCAGATTCTGTTTACCGATAGTCGTCTTTAAGGTCTGACTTTTATTTTGTCCTCCACTTGCCAGTTTTCCACACACCCTGCACAATATGCTGTCACGGTGAGGTATCAGGACTGAAGAAAGGGAGTGAAAAATCAGCCAAAAGGCAAAGAACAATTCTTAAAAGACCTTCAAAAGGTCTACCAGTAGTTCCCAAACTATTTTCCTCAATGCCTCCCTTTCTAACGTCCAAGCCAATCTGAGGCCCCCCAATTCTTCACTACTCCCCACTTCTCCCAAAAAACACGTTTAACCTTTATTTTTTATCACAATAATAAAAGAATAAAGTGAACAGTTACAAACTTCTATTTGAAAAAAGAAAATAAATTAAAACTAAGTTATGCAGAGTTGTAATATTTCAAATGGACTTGTTTGGATATAAGGTTATGGACCCCCCTGTTCTCTGGCAGTGAACTAGACCATTTTGCAGGTTGAAACCCAGGTTGAGTCAGGGAAGGCATCCGGCCAAAAAAAAAAAAAAATAGCCAAATCATTTGTGTGGAAAAACAAACAACAACAACAGTTATATGTCTCAACAATGGCGTCTTACACTTAATCAGGTTTTGTGGCAATTCCTCTGACTCAAAAGCCCTCAAACAAACCCGGACCGTAAGGAGAACCATAAAACCTATGAAACAATGTGATTTACAAATCCACTATGACAGGGGATTAAACACAGCAGTGTGATACCGTACACACAGGAGCCAAAATAGTGTATCAGATTTCACGCTGTGTGTATGTAGCCACCACACACAACCCACAGAGAGTGACTGTACAAGGCGCCGAGTGACTAGGATTACCGCTAAACCCTGAGCCGATGACAATGAGAAGTGCCACTGAAGTTTTTCCCCCTCAGCAGCAAGGTCAATTGCAATTTCCCTTTTCTTCCAAAATGCTAGGTGTTTGGTATGTAATCTGGTCTCCTGAAGCCATTCGCGAGAAATTTATGCCTGTGTTCTTGGCAGGCAAGCTGCAACGGTAACCCCCAGCCTCGAACGTCGACGTGTGAACAGGGTCGAGAAAAAAAAATGAGCGAACCACTTCATAAAAAGCTTGGCTTCACCTCCCTAATCCATCAGATGTCCTGTAACTAACACTTGTGACAGCCATTGTCTGCACGTCTGCCTTTAGGTGGGGGTGGGGGGGGACCTGTGAACGGCGCTCCTGCTCAGTATCACCGCTTTGATTAACATAAATAATGTAGGGGGGGGGGGGGGGACTTTTCAAAACAGAGGTTCTATTTATCAGCGGAAAGAAAAGGGCAAATAAGCGAGACCGCTCCACGTTTTGAATCCACAAGCAGAATCTTTTCCACCGGGAGGCGAGTTTCTGCTGTCCAGATCTGAAGTCATGGTTTGAAAGCTCACATTTAAGAAAAAAAAAAGTGAACAAATGGGCGAGGAGACTTTCAGCCTCTGCGTCAGACGTGTTAGTTGTGTGAATCAGGCTGTTTTGGCACATCGGGATAGAAGAGGGAGAGAGAGGATATCAGTTAACTTGGGCAACGCTGCCTCTTCTTTCTTCTAAGCCATACTTTGGCACATTATTCCACCCAGACTCTAACTTCACTGGAGTCTCTGTCACTCTGCAGTGTTCTGCAACCGTGCATGCAAAGGGAAGCACATGAATGAAAAAAACAGTTCAGCAGGTTTTCCGCCTTGGTGTTTTATTGTATGATGCAATGCTTTTTACTTTGTGGAATTTCATGCTTTTGTTGTGACTAAAATGTGAATATTTCTATTTATTTATGTCTGGATGTGACCACGGACATCAAATCATTTAAAAATAGGACCTTGTGCCATAATGGACAGATTCAAACATGAAGAGGATTTAGCATGTTGTCTTCCTGTTATTAAACTGGTGAAGTTCTGTGAAAAGGATGTGAACAATTAGTGTCTTACCTGTTGTAGATAGCTCTTTGGACAGAGTTTAATTCTGACTGGTCTGATGAGCTATGTCAAAACAGGGCCAATACTGAAGGGGATTTCTGCTGTCTTGAAACAAGTAAATATTTATTTATTTAAAATATTTATTTTGATTTTTTTGTGGGGTTTTTTTCAAGCACAAATAATGTTAGCTCCTTTGATGTGGCCTGGAGCACAACCAGTATAAATAATACAGTATTTATGCAGGAATAACTGCGTTCAGTGAAGCCCCACAAAGTTGTGTTTCACAGTTTGTGGACTCAGCCTTTTGTGGCTTTTTTCATGGATTTTAACTACTAGTAGTTTGTTGTAATCCCCGGAATTTTGCAAAAAAAAAACAAAAATACAGTAAGTACTGTACAGAGTACCGTATGTTTCTCTTGTTTTTTGTAGTTTTCAAGCTAAGTTATTAAGAACAATTTAATCCACTAATTTTGTAACATAAACATGAACCTAAATTCAGTTCCATATTTTTAAAAAAAGCACAGTACAAGACAAATGCACTGTGCTCGCACTCCACCCGAGAAGCAGCAGTTCTGCCTTCTTATGGTTTTCTGTGAAGTACTGTGTGGCGTGTAGCTGAACTGTTTAAGACGCCACTCAAACGCGCTGTAGGCCTTTTCTGAACTACATTCATTTTTTCACGATTCACGGTTACTCTGAAAACATAACTCGGTGAAAATCAGGGCTTCAGTGTAATTAAAATGTGATGGTGTACACCTTCTAAATAGTGTTTGTGTGAAGTGAAGTTGTTGAGAGTGGCGTTGTTCAGAGACGACAGAAATCTACTTTGGTCTTGGTGGTGTTTGAGCTAACTGTTAGCTTGTCAGTCCGGTCAGTATTAGACCCTATATTTCCAGTTTGAGTTCTTCTGAAGAGCTATTTAAAACAGATAAGAGATCAGTTTTTTACAACCTTTCCACAGAACCTCACTTCCAAATGTCTGAGCTCTTTCTGTTGAACGAGTACAAATCAGTTAGCAATAATGAGCAAACTGAACCGTTCATCTGACTGGTGTTTGTAGGATGCAGTGGTGGGCAGCAACTAAGCCTAAAGCACTAACTCAAATATTTAGGTCCCCTAATTCTAAAGCACTAACTCAAATATTTAGGTCCCCTAATTCTAACGCACTGAAAAAATTAGCGAAACCTAATGCTAAAGCACTAATATAACCCAGTTGACACATTTTACAATCTTCAGAGTCAACATAAGACTATATTTACTGTCTGCTGAATGCTGTCACTTAGTGCCCTTGGCGGGCCAAATGGGAGTCACCCGCAGGCCACATTTGGCCCGTGGGCCTTGAGTTTGACATGTGACCTTGTAGATAATTGACACACATATGAACAAAATGTGTGACAGCTTTCACCCTCAACTGTGAACAATAATGTTGATCAATAACATTTAAAGACTTCAGTTAGTGCTTCTAAATTTAGCCCATAAATTTAGCAAGTGCTAATCCACTAATGAATTTAAAAAATGACAAAAGCCCTAAAGCACTAATCAGGAAATTGGTTCCCCTATTCGTGCTTCAGAGCTTTAGGGGAACTGTGCCCACCACTAATAGGATGGTTATAACTGTGGCTGCAGGTTGTTGTAACAGCGGACTGTTCTAGTGGTGCAGGACATGGGTGGGGGAACTGGGTCTTTTTGTACAGTGTCAATGTGTTTTCAGAGCAGGGATCTGGGCTGTAATCAAACCCTGCCACTTAGACAACTCTTTCCCTAAAAGAAGCTCTTTATTCCACTTCTTGTTTAGGCCTGGCCTCACTGCACACATCTTTGGCACAGTTCCCCCGCCCACACCGGAGCATGGCAGAGACTGTTAACACTTCCTGAGACCAGCCTCGCACTACTCAACCATCACCATCACATTCAGGTCTGAGACGAGAGCTTGGGACGTTTGGTGGCCTACCTTGCGTCCGACCTCGTTATTATGAAGGTTCATCAGCGTCCGGGCATTCTGCTTGACCTCCCGCGCGTCGATGAACACTTTGGAGAAGCCCAGGCCGTAGCTGACGTCCGCCGAGCAGCCCCCCCACTTCCATCCTTGGTTTTTGCTGTAGAAACCCTGCTTCTCCTTGTCGCAGCTACAGTCGCTCAGGTTACCCTGTGTGCAGGCGGCCGTGATGGCGTGTGCCACGCCGGCTGCGATAATGGCGTAGGTAAACGCAGCCTCTTTACTGCCTAGAGGAGGAAAAAAGGATACGTTTAGTGACTTATGGAAGGGGTACATTTAATAAAATTGTTAAGTACAAGGGTGTCTCTCTTAGTTTTAAGTGTATAGGTAAAAGGGATGAATTATTAACAGAGTGTGTGCTAACATCACAGTCTTCCTGACGTGTCACTCAAGAGCTGCAGTGTTTTGAAACCTGACCTGGAAACTGTCCTGCCCGTGAACCAAAATGTCTGCTGGCGGTCTAGTCAACAAAGAGGTATGAATAAGAGGGCTGTCGGCAAGGAAGGGCCATCGATCCCCTCAGGAAGCTGTTACATTGTGTGTACACTCATAAGGTGGTGACAGCAGGATCTTCATTCTGCTCTTATCTGTGCCCAAGTCCAGCTAACAAATCATTTACGCGAACAGAAATATCGACAAATAAGTGAAGGTTAATCTGACGGGACTAGATCAAGGAAAAGAAGAAAAAGAAACTCGGTTTAAAGAGTAGAGAGAAAGTTGAATACTGGAATCACAGAATCCTCACTTTAAGTGAACACAACATTAAAATGAAACTGGCATTCTTTGAAGCTGAGCATTATTTGCTGCTATTCTGCTATTTTTTTATAAAGCTCTTGCATGATTAGTTTGTGCTCATAGTATGTGTTGAGGATTACTCTCAGCTACTACCTTCCTAAATTTCACTTCTATATTTGCAGAAGTGACTGATGTATAGCCATTTTTGTGTTTGCTAAATTTGATTAGCTGTATTGGCTGTCTTAAATGCGGTTGACTCTGAAAATTAATCAGTTGCAAATATACATCAACTGAATGTTTGCAGAGAGTTTCATTAAAATCCATCAAGTGGTTCACAAGGTATTTTGCTAACAGACAGAGAGGATGGATACTGAAAGTTAAAAGCAATATATTCAAGCGAAACTACTGTAAATGCACAACACTTGGAGCATTTGTTAAGGGCAATGCTTGGCTACTACCGTGTTTAATCTTAGCTCAGTATCTGTAAAATGTACTGAGTTGGGACCATTTTTGTGTTTTCCAATTTCACTTAACTGTGGCGGCCATATTGAATGGGATTGGCTCCAAAACTTAATCAATTGTATTTGTACGTCAAATGAATGCCTGCAGAGAGTTTTGTTAAAATCTGTCAAGTAGTTTATGAGATTTTTTGCTAACAGACAGTGAACCAAACAAACACACACAGGCAATTGCGCAATCGCCCACTGATCGTGTCGTGGGTGATATTCCTAAACAAAACCAACAATCTTTTACTTTATTTTTCCTATCTGTGATTATCATTGCACAAACAGGAAACAGCAGATTATGACATCCATCATATCTATGTGTAAATAAACTCCTCTTGTCAGTGTTTGCTCTAAACAAACACGATGCCTTCTTTGTACTTCCTCCTGCCACTCGGCTCACTGTGTAAAGCTGCCATGTTTCTGATAAACATCTTGGATGGGTGCCCTTACCAACGAAAGGAAAAAAAAAAAAGAAAAATCTCATATTGAGGCATCAATTATACGCGGACGTTTTTATAGACTCGACAGGCCGAGAGCCAGAAAAGGTGTGTCGGAGCAGTCAGTCCGTCGGTTCTGACTGCTCCGCTCTTAATTCCTTCATTTCTGAGTGCACAGGTTCACCGCAGGAGATGGCACGACTTGTTCAGAATCAGAACCTTGAGGATGGAAGGTATTTAAAAGAGAGGAAAGTTCCAACTGGGAGCGGCTAGTTCCAAAACATCCCTCGTAAAACTCCCCTGAGGTTTGAACTCAAAACGGCGTTCAGGTCCAACATATTGTCCACAAGATGCTCCCTCTTTTTTTTTTTTTTATTAGTCTTACAATGGTCCTGCTGCTCTAATCTGACGAGTGAAACCAATCTATTAAGTACGGCTGTCTGAGCTGGAGACGTCGAACAGAAATGAGAACTCCTGATTGGCTGGAGCCACTCATTCACAACGGGCCCTGACTGTCAAACTTTTTTTTATTTCAACAACATGAGGAGAGATAATCTGTTCAGCTCAACGCCAGCAGGCGACAAAGCCTCCAACAGCTGGCCCAAGCTAGCTTTCAGTCAGACTGTTTGAGCTTCTGTGGGAGATTTAAACATCGGATATCTATTCAAATATGTTCAATGTTTGTGTTTGTCCTTAGAGAATCACTCCTGAGTCACTGGATCAGTTTAAACAAAACCTCCAGAAAGGTGTCATTAGATTTTCACCAACAACAGATTAGCTTCTGGAGCCAGCGCCATTCAAGATGGCCGCCATAGTCAAGTGACCTTAGAAAACACAAAAAACGGTTCTAACTCGGTCAGTTTTCTGGACATTGAGTTAAAAGTTGGTGTGGTAGTAGCTGCGAGCTGTCCTCACAAAATACTCAGAGTGCTACACATTTTGCACTAGTTTTGCTTAAAAACTTTGCCTTTAACTATTGCTGTCAACCCTATTTGTCTGTTAGTAAAATTTCTCATGAACCACTCGATTTGAATGAAAGTCTCAGAAAGTAATCGATGAATGTTCACCAGCAGCTGATTAATGTTTGGAGTCACTGCAATTTAAGATGGCAGCCACAGCCAATGGGAATTACACAACCCAAAAATTACCATAACAGTCAAATTTACAGATATTGAGCTGATTTTCAGAGTGGTAGTAGCTGAGAGTCCTTCTCAATTCTTATTCTGAGCACAATCACTTCTTTACGTCATTTACAAAGCTTGAGTAAAAACAACTGTCTTGCTATGACCCCCGAGGCCTCGGGTCATTCTGACACAAGGACAGCAAGGGGGTTAAAGGTCTGGCACAGAAAGCAGCAGGTGATCTGCCTTCCATCAACAAGTGATGGGCTTTTAATTAAAGATCATCTAAAACCACCTCTGATGTCTGGTTGTAACGTCACTCTGCTCATTCTTCTCATTTTGTCTCATGATCAAACCACAGATCTCTAACCCAACTTTCACCGTCCCCTCAGGAACCTTTCAGTCCCGCAGGAGCAGGAACATTGATTTAGAATAATTCCCGTCCCAGTTTTTCCTTTTTTTGCACTTTTAAGCCTCACTTTTCCTCTTGGCTTTCCTCCTTGGCTGTAACTTATACCCGTGGTAAGATCCGCATCCTCACAGAGAAGAGAGAGAGAGGGCTGCAGCACCCATCACTGGACGGGATAAAGACCAGAGAGAATGTGCCTCCTGAGACTCACAAGAAAGGCTGCCAACATTCACAGGAGCTTCAAATACCCTTTTTTTTTTTTAAATATGTGTTCCAAAGGAGAAATGTGGGACAACACTAGGGCCTGATGTAAGTCTCCTGGAGGGATGCTTGTTCTACTGCAGGTGCAATAAAGCAGAACAATTGATGATTTGTGCGCCTTTTGAGTTGGCAAAGTGCGAATAGCTGAATGGAGACAAGAAACGCCACCTCTGATGTTAGTGGAAAAGGATGTGTGAGGGCAAAAACTCAATCTGGTGTTGAGTTGTTTTTTTTTTTTTTTTGTCATCAAAATCCCAATATTGGCAAGGGGCGCGGTGGTGCGTAATTTCGGGAAACGCTCACATCTGAACGTGAGGTGACTGATGCTGAAGAGAATCAAACTGAACAAACGTTTAACAGAACAGCAACATACCCACTTTCAACTCTTTTCCGAAGACGGTCCTCTCCCCGAGCGCGGAGCAGTTCCAGCGGCCGTTCTTGAACTGGAACTGGCACTCGTTGATGCCCATTTGGACCCCCTCTCCGATGACGATAATGGCATCGGGGCGACTCTGGCAGATAATCCGCTGTCTGGGAGCCAAACCGGGGATCTTGTTACAGATTATACTCGCACCCAGGGCCACCACCGACGAAAAGCCTCTGCAAGTTGGATGAGAGAAGACCCCCAAATCAGGCGCTTTGATGTTAATTTTATTTTAGTCAGTTTCATGTTTCACTTTGAGCAGTTTCATGAGCTCCAGTTTGCGCGTGAGTTCTGCGTTTTGGCACCATTTCCAGGCACGACACCAAACTTTACGCACGCAGTTGCGCGTCAGCGCTCCATGTTTTTATTATAAATTTTAATTATCCACCTGCTTTTTTTGTTTTTTAAGAAAGAAACAACTGAAAGTCTGACATTTTTTTTGTGTGTTGCTGCTAAGTTTTAAGTTCTGGGAAGGAGAAGAACAAAATGAAACGCAACTCACCCAATTTTCAAGTAAACAATCCCCAAACAAAGCAAAACTCTTAAAATCCAGCGCCGTGTTCTCCGACTCATTGCGGCCCAGTTTTCAGTCTCATGCACCGGTGAAGAACTCGGTTCGGCTCCTGGTAAAAGTCTCCGCTCGGTCTCAGCCCAGGTAGTTCCAAAGGAAGTCCAAAATGAGGAAAAACATCCAGGGGAAAAAAATGAGGGGAGGAAATGGAGACGCTCGGGTTTTAAAACTTAATACTTCTTTCTTTCCTTTTTTTTTTAAATCTTTCTTTTCTCTTTGTTTTTATTTTCACAAAGCATCCAAAGCTCCCTTCACGCGGCCCCCCCTCGGGTCTGGCCCTCCTGTCATTATTGCGGGGGTGTCACAGGTAAGTCTGGGGGGTGAACAAGTGCGCTTATCTCTTTCTCACAGTTCCTCAGCTCACCCGCAGGTCCTTGGCTTTATATCTGCCTCATCTATCTGGGGCGTGTTCACAGGAGACATGGGGCCCTGCTGAAGAATCCCGCCAGGGCTGAATCTCAACACACACACACACACACACACACACACACACACACACACACACACACACACAC